CCAGCGTCTCGCAGACCGTCTTATCCGCTACCACGGATTTTCAGAGGTGCTCATATCGGACCGCGACCCTCGCTTCCAGTCAGACCTCTGCCCACAACTATGTCGTCGCTTCAACATCAAACGCGCCATGTCCTCGTCCTACGATCCGCAAAGCGACGGTCAAACTGAAAGGGTTAACCGCACACTGAAGCAGATGCTTCGTACCTACATCCAACCTGACGAACGCCAGTGGGAGCGCTTACTTCCGGCCCTGGAACTTGCCTACAACACGACATGCCATTCATTCATCGAGCTCTCTCCCTTCGAGGTCATGATCGGCGAGAACCCGCTGACTGCTGCGAATCTTGATATCGTAGGCGCGTTAGCCCCGACGATCACTCCTCCGATGACCAAGCTCTTCCGGCAGCTCTGCGACAGAACGCAGAGCCACATACAGGAAACAAAATGGCAGCAGGAATATTACGCAGACAAAAAGTGCCGAGCTGTGGAGTATGCAGTGGGCGACAAGGTTTGGCTGAGCAGCAAGCATCTACCGGCGTCATCTAGCTGCCCTAAGTTCGAGCCCCGTTACCGAGAACCCTTTGAAATCATTGAACGAGTAGGCACCGTCGCGAACCGTCTCTCTTTACCTCCTACTTATGCATGCCACAACGTTTTTCATGTTTCGCAGCTATTTCCCCACTGCCCCCGCCCTCCAGACTTGGTTCCCCAGGAAGCCGATACCGCCTGGCCCCCTATCCGCGATGCGGCAGGTAATCCGACAAAGAAGTATGAGGTCGATTATGTTATGGACCAATGCGGCTCAGGCGCCGATGTCCAGTACCTCGTCAAGTGGCGCGGCACCCCCGAAGATCAAGCCACGTGGGAGCCCGCTAACCACCTAACAGGATGTCAGGCTTTGCTCCGTGCTCGGCACCGCCGTCAGAAAAGACATCTTCAGGCTTGAAATAATCTTGCTCCTTCTGAGGCGTAGCGGTTTGGTTCCGTCAACTTCCGCCACACGACGGTCTTCAATGACGAGGGGGTGGAGGAAGCGCTGCGCATCGCATGCGCTCATGGCATTAGCTTCAGAAGGGCATAGAGACTGAAAAGGGAGAAATAATGTGTTCTGGGTAGGCCGGTTCAGTCCGACAAGGGGGGAGTTGTAGTGCGCAGGCACTACAATAGGGCTTGCTGGTGACCTATAGAGGATAGCTAATTGATGAACTATAAGCGGTCAAGAGGTTGAAACGCGGATTGAGCGCTGCAACCTCTTACTAGTGAAATAGAAAAGCAATTTGTTGGCAAATCGACATGGATAAATTAGAAATTCCTGCGGATGCATAAGATTGGGGCTGCCGACAACGCCGGCGCCGGTGAGCGCCATATCCTCACCGGTCCAAGGAAGCAAGAGCCATGAGAAGCGACTTTTATAAAATATGGCTTCGAGAACTTGAAACAAAACGGTCTTCTTAATAAATTGGTAGACGTTGCAATACAGATGCGCCGGTAGTAGAGAGGATTTCATAGTTGTTGGCCAGGTAGCATCGTAGTCGCTGCAGAGAACGTAGTGTACTGCAGGCCCTTTCTCGTAGCTCTAGCATGGTCAGCATAGACTCGTGGAGTGGCGCAGAGGCTGTCGCCGCTTGTCCGCACGAGGAATAGCTCACCTGCCCGCTACTGGTTATGTGGAGGAGGAGGTCCGTTGGTAGCCCGGCGCAGTCAGCGAGTTTGTCGGGGGTGCCATCAACGCCACACTCGACTACAGCTGCAAACCGGTCCGTGTATTTATTAGAGTTGCCATTCCACCATACGTTTACCAAATCCGTTGGCAATCGACTCTGCGACATTGCTTTTTCGAACCGTTCCAGAAGCCTGCGCCGTGCCGTCGTCCATTCATTTAGCTCAACAGTTCGTCGTAGATACACTCAATACGTTAGAGCGGGGCCCATAAGCTGGTCAATAAGTGCGCTCCCCCAGTCGCGGGGCTCCAATCCCATCTGGGTGTACCGTCGTTCGACGCGCAGCAAAAAGGCCTGCACATTGCTGCTGCATTCCGAAAGTATGGGAGACATTGCACCCGATTCCTCGGACCCGCCTGTAACATTTCTTATCACACTCAAAGCGAAGCGGAATTGGTCCTACGTAACGTACGGACTGTCCCCTGGCATAACATTGGTTATAGGTACCACCTGTGGGGGCGCCTCCTTATGCCCGTGCGGCCGCTCTTCCACGGTGGGTTTCGGAG